GGGCTGGCTGGGCTTGACGCGGGCCTTCGGACACCTCCTCCTCCTCCACTGTCAGGCTCCGGGTCGCGCGGGGGGGAGGGGGCAGGTGAACTGGCTCGCCGCCCAACGTCCATCGGGCTGCCGTGGTCGACGGTCGACGGACGACGGGCGGCGGACGACGGGCAACGGCAACGGAGCAGGGCCTATTTTCAGGCGGTCTATTTCCAAACTTCAGGCGTCCACGCATTGAGGCGGTGGTCGGGTGTGTTTGTGCAGCACAGCTCGGCGGTACAAGAGGTACTGTACAAATCGACGGTGCGCAGACCGGGGCAGGCGGTATTAAGGACAGGGATGGCTGGTGCTGCTCTGGTGTTTCATTTCGTGCGCGGTGGGAACCGGACTTGCTGACTGCAAAGCCAAAAGTCATCGCCAAGGCTGGCTGCGTCACCGCAACTTTCCAAGTTTAGAGACACGGTCGTGACTTTACCCGTGGCTGCCGTCGGGCGTCTGCTGGTCGCACCCTGGCCGCCCCCCAGGTACCCGACCCCCCTGTCGTCGTACTCGGTACATGGAGTCAGACATGCGAGGACCCAGCTCCATGCCCCACAATTCCTCGCAACTTCCCACAGCCCTGCTCTTTCCACTTTCCGGCTTGCAAGGGCAATCTCGAAGTTGTCAGTCGCCGGCTACCTACATAAGGCAGCCGCAGCCTTCCTCCCTCCCCCCCGTTCTTGCCGACCACTGAACTCATCATCAGACCAACAACTTGCTCATCGAACCACTTCACCGACTCCAGCAAACACTCCTGCCGCCAGATACATATCTACCACGTCTCGCCCCGGCCAGCTCTTTCACCTTCAACTTCAACACTCACCACCACCAACATACAACACACCAGCAACACCAACACCAACACCACCCACAACCACAACCACCCCAACACCACCAAGATGCCCGCCCAAAGACCCTCGCAGCTCCCTCCCTGCCCCGGCCCGCCTCCGAGTCGCCCTCTGCCTCCCCTTCCCAAGCGCGGGTAAAGGGTAGCAGGTCAAGATCACACCCGACTCTGGAACCGACATCGAACTCTCTGGTGCCGTCGCTTTCGGTCAGACCTCGCCGGCCGCCCACCATGGACGGCGACAGTCGACCTTCTATCGTCTTCGCTGCAGATGCGAGGCAGCAGCACCGCAACCTGCACGCCACATCGTTTCTGCATGCTCAGCACACCGGCGCAGCTGCATACCACGCAGCCAACCTTTGCGCAACAACAACATCATCATCCATCCCACCACGGAGCTCCTCCGCTTCCTCGCTCCGCGGCCTCTTGCGACATGGACAACATCTTCTCATACCACCACCACGCCTCGTTCCCTCCACCATTGATACCCCTTGGGCACGAGCACCGACCATCACTTCCCACCATTCACTTCGACGACGCCGCGGGGCCTCTGCCCTGTCGGTGCGCCATGTACCACCACCTCGGATCGATATACCCACCTTTTAATCACTCTCGCTTTTCAACTCTTTCTCTCTCTCTCTCATTTGGGGAACACGATAGATGCACGACACGGTTACGACACGATCATCTCCAGGCATTTCACGGGGAGGGGTCACTTGTATTATTATCAGCATTGGGACCGGCGCAACAACAAGATACCATCGACGCCGATACACTGGGAAGGGGGGGGCTATGACGGAAGGAGGATCTCGAGCGGCTGGCACGCCAGCGCATGGAGGAGGCGGGGGGGAACCGCGTCGCGAGGGGAGCTCGCCGGATAGCTATGGCTTAGCTAGACCTAATTGTCTATGCAAACTCACTGTTTTACGCACACACACAAACACCACGATAATCATTAATGCGCCAATGGCACTCAATTCCTCATCCAAACACTCGTCCCATTGCGAATGCGCCCTTGTTGAAACTCTCTCTGTGATGCTTGGTGGGGTTGAGTTGATGCGATTGCGACAGAACCGAAGACCCCTTTCCCTCCGCCTACCTATCCGAAAAGGGGGACGCTGGCAGCAGCAGCTCCACTCGGATGGGACGGTTTCAGAGCGCACACAACTCGAGTCGAGTCAAGCGCAACCCTATCCGAGCGAGAGAGCATGCCTCGGAACGAACACTGCACTAGCTACCGCACTTGGACAAGACGATCGTCCTTTCCCCAGCCCCCAGCCTCCCCGCGCGCAAAACAAAGCGTTCCCGATCGGACGATCAAGACTCGGCGGCGGCGGCGCGCGGCGCGCGGCCATCATGGGCGTTTGCGAAAGGGGGGGCTTGGTAATGTTCACTCCCACCAGCGTCTGTGCGCCCCTGCACTGCTACATGGTGCACCTGGTGGTTGTAATTGCCATGCGTGCGCCATGCTATGCCATGCCATGCGACTGTCGCCCTGCTGGCGCACGCGGCGATGGGTTCAACAGAAGCAGCAGCAGCGCCGACTCAACTCGGATCCCGGGGAGGATCGCCAGCACGTGGGTATATTTGCCCCTCTCAGGGGAATGGAGGGGGAGGCGACGGCGATCGAGCACATCTTGGACGTGGTGTTGTGTTTCATGTCATGTTGGTCTTTCGCGAATAGGTAAGTGCTGGGCTCCGATCTCTACGGTACTTGTGTTTATCACGCTGTTTTGTTCCTGCAGCATGATGCTGTTGTGAGTGTTTCCGAGTTTGACATATATCCCGGTTGGCGATGATGTGCTCGTGCGGGGGAGTGGTACCGAGGGTAGGAGGATATCATGCGCTGCCGGCCGGGTGGCTGGGTTGGGGCAAGCCGGGGAGCCGAGATGGGGGTCTCTCTCTCCGTTCCGCATCTTGTTTCTATCTCTCACGACGGATACGGAGGGAGGGGGGAGATGTCATGGGGCCATCAAGGGCCCTGGGGTGTGACTTGTCATATCTTGTTGTTTAGGAGGTGCTGCACTTGTGTATGAAACGCCAGGCGGCCATCGCTCTCGGCATATAATACCTCTGGTGATTTCAGTTTCCTGGAGTGGTAGTGTCGTGCTCCGTACTATAGTTGGGCATCAATGTGACATGTCGGTGGAATGTGGGGGGAGGGGGGACTTTGGGGTTGTTGCCCGCAATACACCTTGGTGTAGGTATCATTCATGCGACGATGGGTGGTCCTTGGTCTTGGTGCTGCTGCTTGCCAATGTTGTGGGGGAGAGAGGATATAGTAGCAGTGAATGAGGGTGGTGGTATGGTATATCGGGGGAGTAATATTCTTCCAGGTTTTTTGTCATTCCCCCCCCTCCTTTGCGTCGCATGTTCCTGTCCATGGTCGCCGAGCAGCGTCGCTTTTCTGACGGGAGGGATTCATCGTACCAGACTCGGGACGGATACGGGTATGGCGGGGGACGCGATATTATTTTCGGTGAGGTGCTGTTTGTCATCGCCGATATGACCAAGGCATGGCAGATGCAACCTCCTGATTGCGCGCCCAGTCGAGAGATGATGGGAATTGTTGGCAAAAAGGGGGGACGATGCGTGGTTCTGGATCTTGGCCGCCCGGCCGTCACGTTGCCGGCTCCCGGAAGTTGGAAACAATGGGAAAGCACACCGCCCACCCCGGCGCCCGCATTCCCTCCCCCGCGTTTCTCGGGTCCCGAGGTGACGAGGTGGAAGTGGTTGCATGGCCGTCTTATCGCAATCTTATCGGCACGTGGATACGCGAAGCAACCTTGGCGATGACCTCGCGTTTGGAGATGCCGAGACACCACACGAGAGGTCGCGTCAATCATGGCGGACAATTACACCAGCTCGACTTTTCTTATAAGATTCTGAACGAGAGGTTTGGCTTTCTTCACGGTCTGTTAATTCCCAATGATCCAGGCAGTGGCGTGTCTATGCTGACCCAGATGTCCAGAGTCGACGTCGTCCCCATCAAACGTACAGCAATGCCGAGGGCATGTATCGCGCATCCCGCGTTGAAATGAGGTTTCCACCTCCTCCTCAGCATCCGAAGCCTCCACAACTTTCAGTCGCCCATCGTCCCTCGGGTCTACGGGCGGGGAAGTGCCATCTGGTGAAGGGCGGATTTTCCAGGAACACTTGTTGCCTTGCGAGCCGGTGGATGAAACACTCAAACCCTCATCTCTTGTTGAGAGGCAGCTTCACATTTGACCAGATGGCAGAACCACAGCCTACCAGACACGGTCGCGGCTTCGAGGGGGTGACGTCAATGTGATTGCTCTGGCACGATTGCCAGCACGGGCATGGATTGCACTGTCTTCGGTCGAAGTTTGTGCAAAGGACGGCTGGAGGTGATGCTCTCAAAGGTGGACGGGAACCACACAGGTGGTGTCAGTAAAACCCCGAAAACTCGCACCTACAATCCAATACTGGTTTGTTTCTCGTCAAGAACGCGACGGCCGACTCTCCCTTGACGAGGCCGAGTTGACACAATTATAGGCATCCAGTTCTGATTCTAGGGACTCTTTAATCGTTCGGGTGGCCTTGGCTGGTGTGCTCGATGTCTGCACCAACAAACGAAAGGGCTGCCCTGTAGTGCACTTGAGTGTTCGGTTCCTTTCTGACACCACCTGCCACATCAGCGGATGGCGCCTCCCCGGTGCTGAATCCATCACGACCCCGGGTTGCGTGTCGGCGGGGGCGTTCGACCGGGCGTGGGCAAGAGCGGCATTGCTCGGATGAACCACCCTCAGAGCTTCTCTGTCGTCTTCATCGAGATCCCCGCGGTCTCATCTCGATTCTCGACAGCCGAGCTGCCCAATACCCCGCTCGTCGAAACAAAAGCTGCTGCTAATGACATCAGGATGACGTTCAAGTTCGGAGGTCCGCCAGGACACCAGGTTGTCCGAACATAAAACCAAACACTCGACCACTTCACACGCCGCTTAGGTGTTCAGTTTTCTGTTTGGACGCCCACGACACGTCCCACTGTTAGCAGGGCATTGACCACCCTCCCTCCATATATAATCCTCGTTCCCCCTCGTCCATCCTTCTCCTCCTCCTTTCCTTCTTCACCCTCAGTCTTTCATGGCTGTCGGTCACCAACGGGGGGGTAGCTCAGTGGGTAGAGCGCAGCGAATTTGCTTTTGGTCTTTTTCACCCTAAAAACCACCTAAAGGGGTATCGCTTACCCAGCGAATCGAAGAACCTAAAGATATGGGCGGCACCGCCCCAAATTCCTGAGGTCCTGGGTTCGAAACCCAGTTCTCCCAACACACCCGAGCCTGGGCTCGATGGACTTTGGTCTGTCGAGTCCAGGCTCTTTTTTTTTGTCATTTTTCCGCACAGTGCGAATTGAAGTGCGAGTGGGTATTTGGTGTGGTGGGGGTTGAGTTTGCACTGTGCTTGATGGGTTGTGACTTGCGAGAGAGGCTTGATGGCGATGCAGTTGAAGGTGTTCGTTCCCTAGCGAATTCGAGGCCGTTGAATCAAGGGAAGACGGCCTCGCCGTCCATATCAATTTCAGGGACCTCGTCTCTTCTACCGGCGTGGTAAACCCACGCTGCCCGAAGAGGTGACGAAGATTTCTTGAGGCCGAAGACGCAGGACGTCATTGTCCAGTGTTGTGATGAGATGAGGAGCTGCGGGGATAAGCTGCCCCGCTATCTGGGTTGGCGAGACTCGAGAGACAGCAATGGTGGTGAGAAACTGTTTTGACACCAAGAGAAGAAACATTTCCAGCGCTGGACGACATGATGAAAGTGAGTTGGGCGACGGGAACCTTGATGGCACTTGGTCGATATGACAAACAGACGTCGCGATAAATTGAGGTGCCTTGTTCTGATCAGGCTAGACCGGGTACCCCCACTTGGCAGGTGGGGATTTTTCGCGACCGCAACAACTCCAAGTCTCCAACTTTCAACATTCAACATTCGCTTTCCCTTTCTTGCGCCAGAACCCCGATAGCCAAGGTGCTGGTATAAAACACCAAACCAACAATTGACAGCCCCCCCCCCCACCGACAAGACCAACACAGCAATGGTCCTCCAACTTCACGTCTGGGGCCCGGCCTTTGGCCTCCCCTCGATCGACGCCGAGTGCCTCGCGACCATCGCCTACTTTGCGCAAACCCTCGACAGCTCCGAATACCAGCTCATCCAAAGCAGTCCCTCGGCCGTACCAACCCGTGCGTCCCCCTCTCCCCTCTTCCCCACCACCACCAAAACTGACCTCCCCAGACCAACTCCCCACCCTCCACGACCCCACCACCGACACCTGGACCGCCAGCTTCTCCGCCATCACCCGCTCCCTCCCCCTGACCGCCGACCCCGCCCCCTCCCGCAAAGCCCAATCCCACGCGACCGCCTACGCCGCCTACCTCGCCCAAAACGCCACCCCCCTCCTCGCCCTCTCCCTCTACGTCTCCTCGGACAACTGGACCACCACCGTCCGGCCCGCCTACACCGCCATCCTGCCGCTGCCCCTGCCGTGGACCGAGCCCCCCGCCATCCGCGCCGCCATGGCCCAGTGCGCCGAGCCCCTCGGCATGTCGAGCCTCGACACGGACGCCGAGGCCGAGCGCGAGGAGGCGGCCGGGGCGGCGGCCGAGGCCAAGGGGTGGATCCAGGTCCCGCGGGGGCTGATTCCGCGGCGCAAGGGCGTGGCGGAGACGCTGACGCCCGAGCAGAGGGCCAAGATCAGGCTGGAGGGGCTGACGAGGGATGTGCTGGATGTGCTGGCCGAGGCGGAGTGGGAGGGGCAGACGAGGGCCGCGAGGTGCTTGACGTGGGGGTATTTGGCGTTGATGTTGGTGCCCGAGGTGCCGAGGGGGTGGTTGAGGGAGATTATGAGGGCGAGGTACGGGGGGTTGTGTGCGTTTGTGGAGGAGGGGAGGAGGGAGTGGTTTGGGGGGATAGGGTGGGAGGGGCTGCCTTGGGCGGAGGAGGTGGGTGGCAAGGGGGAGAAGGGGAGGGGGAGGAGGCTGAATGCTGGAGGGGATACGATAGTGGGCGTTGGGGCGAGGTTTGTGAATGGGCTGCTGTTTACCATTCCACAGTTTGGGGATGAGTGGGCTAGGTTCTGCGCGAGGAGAAGTTGGCGTGTGGCGGGGAAGGGGAGGGAAGGGGTCGTTTGGAGTGCTCGCAACCTGCTGCTCATGATTGGTACGGGGTTGACGCTCGTCGTTGGCACAGGGTTGTGGGTATACTACAAGCCGAAGTTTGGGGCGAGGACCCAGGTGTGGACGAGGGCGGCGCCGAGTGTGCTCGGGCTGGGGACTGCTGGGTTCATGTTTGGGCAGTTTGCGGATCCGTGGAGGTCAGGATTGCAGTAGGTAGGGCAGTAAAGACCTTTCCTCCTGGATGCTGTTTTTGGGATGCCCGTTTGAGTTGATGTCTGTTGGGAGCAGGTGGGAAAAGATCAGGTGACCCCATGTTGACCACCCCCCCCCCTATATAGGGTCGAGTTTGCAGAGCAGATTGTACAGTTGGGTCTTGCCAAAGGTAGCCGACCTTTGGCCAAGTGGAAGTGTGTGCGCCGCCGTGACTGCCGGCACTAGACCAACCCACAAATCGTTCGTCAGGATTCGCCGGCGACTCTACACGGTTTGGGTTCGATTCCTGCCTTGGGCAAGCAGGAGTTGGATTTTTGCTGTTTTCTTTGCCCTTTTTTTTGGCACTTGGGTATTCCAGCGATCAGTGACTTGCTTCCTTTTCTCTCTCTTTTTTTATACCAGACAAGATTTTGATAGCGTCTTCTCCCCTCCCCAGCATATCTTTATTTCTTCAGCATTTCAAATAGCATTCCCATCATTGTTGACATGGTGATGCTCCCCTGATCTGGCCCCACCCCGGCCCCACCAGAGCTTGTCGAGCTCCGAGTACTTTTTGGTCGCTCTTATCGATAAGCCCTGCACCCAATTTTTTGTTGCTCCCTTTGGCAACCGACAGCATCGCGATCCGCGACAAACTCAACTGCTGCCTCCGTACATTCCGAGCGCCAACAATCTCCAATTGCTTCGGTCGACCCCCGACAAGCATCCAAACATGTATATCTTCAAAGTCCTCTCCCGAGGCACCAAGCCCAAGAAGCCCGCCAACGCAACCACCGGGCCATCCACCTCCAAAGCCCCCCTCCTCCCCTCGGCTGGCGCCCGCGTCAACCCGCAGTTCTTCCACGACGACGTCAGCGGGCTCGCTGCCGCGCGTGGAAAGAAGCGCAAGAGGAGAAAGAATGCCGCTGCCGGCGCCGACGACGACAACGATGAGACAGCCCCGGCCGACGACGACGACGATGCCAGCGACATTGACTTCTTTGCGCCGCCGAAACCCGCGACCGCTGCTGCCACCACGACACCAGCGCAAGACGAGGCAGAGGACAAGGAGCAGCAGGCCAAGAAGATCAACGAGCGCCTCCTCGACGAGGACGAGTGCCGGATGATCTTCAAGTCGCATCGTCTCAAGTTCACGGTGCTCGCGGGCGGGACGGTTGCTCCCGAGGAGGAGGAGGAGCCGGTGCGGAAAAAGTCAAAGAAGCAAAAGGGCGATGGGAAGAAAGACGTCGAGGAGGATAAGAAGAAGAAGGATGATAAGTTGAAGCAGCTGTTTCCGCAGCCGTTGAACAAGTTTGGCGAGCTCAGGCATATCTACGGCATTGCGCCGACGCTGGCGGACAATATTGCGCGCCAGGGCTTCCGCGTGCCGACCGAGGTGCAGATGGGCGCGCTGCCGCTGCTGCTGAGGCCGAGCTTGGCGCTCAAGAAGGTCAAGGGGGACGTGGTCAAGGTGGACGAGGAGCAGGGGGTTGACTTTCTTGGAGTGGCGCCGACAGGGAGCGGCAAGACGATCAGCTTCTTGATCCCGGCGATTGACAGGATCTTGAGGCGGAGAGGAGAGAACACAGAGGAGCACGTCCTCGAGGCGGTCGTGGTCGCCCCGACGAGGGAGCTGGCAAGTCAGATTGTCAACGAGGGCAGGAAACTGGCCCTCGGCACGGGCGTGAGAGTGGTATTGATGAAGAGGGGCGTCACGCTTGCGGCAGATGACCTGGAGCAGGTCAAGGAACCCGAAGAGAAAAACGACCAAGAAAAGGCCGAGGCCGAAGAAAGCGAGGAGGAGGACCAAAACACCGACTCCGACTCCGACGCCGACGACAAAACCAAGGCTCGCGCCCCCAGAGGCCCCACCCACGTCGACATCCTCGTCACCACCCCCAAGACCCTCCTCAACTTCCTGTCCGGCGAAAAGGTCCCCAGCAAGAACCCCAAAGCCCGCAAGGCCCTCCCCACCGTCCGCTCCCTCATCCTCGACGAGGCCGACGTCCTCCTCGACCCCCTCTTCCGCAAGCAAACCACAGCCATCTGGAACGCCTGCACCCACCCCTCCCTCACCCTCACCTGCTGGTCCGCCACCATGGCCTCGTCCATCGAAGCCCTCATCACCAAGCAGCTCTCCAAGCGCGCCGCGCGCCTCTCCCTGCCCACCCCGCCTCCCGTCCTCCGCCTCGTCGTCGGCCTCAAAGACACCGCCGTCCCCAACGTCACCCACAAGCTCATCTACGCCGCCACGGAGCAAGGCAAGCTCCTCGGCCTGCGCAACCTCCTGCACCCCTCGGGCGGCTCGTCCGACATCCCCCTGCGCCCGCCCTTCCTCGTCTTCACCCAGACCATCGAGCGCGCGCAGGCCCTCTTTTCCGAGCTGCAGTACGACATCCCCCCCTCCGCCGGCGGCGGCGCCGCCCGCCTCGCCGTCCTCCACTCGTCCCTCCCCGACGCCGCCCGCGCCCGCATCATGGCGCGCTTCCGCGCCGGCGACGTCTGGGTCCTCATCACGACGGACGTGCTGGCGCGCGGCATCGACTTTGCCGGCGTCAACGGCGTCGTCAACTACGACGTGCCGGGGTCGGCGGCGGCGTACGTGCACCGCGCCGGGCGCACGGGGCGCGCCGGCCGCGAGGGCGGCGTGGCCGTGACGTTTTATACGAAGGAGGACATTCCGTTTGTGAGGAGCGTGGCGAATGTGATTGCCGCCAGCGAGAGGCAGGCGGGCGGTGGTGGTGGTGGTGAGGGGTCGACGGTGCAAAAGTGGCTGCTGGATGCGCTGCCGAGGGTGGCCAAGGGGGAGAAGAGGAAGTTGAGTGTTAGGGGGGTGGAGGCGAGGAGGGCCGGGGGGAAGGCGACGATTGGGACGAAGGGGGGGTGGGAAAAGCAAAAAGAAAATAACAAGAAGGCGGCGATTGAGGCGAGTAAGAGGCGGAAGAGGGAGGGGGAGAAGGG